ACTCTTCCTCTTACTCTTCCTCTTACTCTTCCTCTTACTCTTCCTCTTACTCTTCCTCTTACTCTTCCTCTTACTCTTCCTCTTACTCTTCCTCTCCACGACCCCCACTTACCACGATTCCCATCATCTGGCGCTCCCCATCTACTAAACGCGCCCGTCTAACCATCCCCACCATCCGACGGACACAGAATCCCCGGTCCAGCTTCCCCCGCAACCCACTAGGCGCGAAGTTCTCTGAGGATTTCACCGCCGAGTACAACGAGTCGATCGCACTCGCCGTTCACCCTCCAATTGTTGCGCGCGCCCAAGGGCCGCTAGGACCACGTAACGTCCTCTTCCTCGAGAGCCGCAGGGAGGCCCGCAACCGTTCCTGGGCGCCACCGCGTCCACCATCGCCGTTTACCCGTCGGCTGGGACAGACGGAGAGAGAGGCTGCCGAGCGGACCGCTACGCGGTACGCAACCGTGCACGATAGTGCTCTTTACCCGGTGTATCGGGGCTACGAGGGCAGGGAGTTCCTCCTCACTCTCGTCGAATGGATTCAGCAGTTGGAGAGGCTACGGGCCGGCTATCGAGGCCACTTGTTCTGTCTGTTCAACTGGATCCAGCGGACCCAGCTGTGCCAGTACCGCAAGCTGGTGAGGCGGATGGGCAGACTCGTGGGCAGACTCCAAGAGCTGGAGGTGCGGATGAAGGCAGTGCCCTTCGAGGACGGACTGCCTAGTGAGTATCGCTGGTTGGAGCGCGTTCTGGGCGATTGGATTCGGAGAGTGACTGGGCAGTACGAGCGGATGACGATGAAAGATGCCCAGTGTCATCGGTCGTTGGCCTGGAGGAGGGACCTCATGAAATCCATGGGCGACGAGGTGATGGATCTCGCGTTTGAGCTGAAGGACGACGTACAAAAGCGTGTGGAGGGCATTCTGGAGGTCTTGGAGGAAGGATAGAAGTGAGGATGTTTGAATTAGGTGTCTGCCGGGCGCATGTCTCTGGACTGTAGATGTAGCACACATCATTAGCGTAGTCAAACATGGGACATTAGAGTTGTTGATGGTGTCCTGCCTGGGATACTTTGGTGCCGAGCCGGGTCCCTCCCAAAATGATCTGGTAGAACGGATATTATGGGGTGGCCATCTGGAATATCGGTCGATGTGTGTATTGCTGAGACCAAAAGCAGAGACAGCTAGTGCCGAAGGCCGAAGAGAAAGCCCGAGACAAGAGAGGCAGGTACCTTAACCTCTATCCAACCATCAATCTCTCGCCGGAGCAGGCACGACCTTCGCCTTTTCAAGCACCGGCTGAATCAACGCCGCGATCCACTCGTAGGTGGTGAATAGAATGCCACCTGCAAGCACAGTCCGTCCAAGGCGCATGGTACTCCCCCTCCACAGGCCCTTGACGCCATAGTCCTGGAGAACACCCGTCCAAGCTTCGACCACTCCTTGGCCCCTCACGCTCTGAGCTCTCGTCTTCAGCGTGTCAAAAGGTTGAGTTGCAAAGACAACAACCGTACCAGCCACAGCGCCGTTCGCAAAATTCATCGCCGTGGTCTGGGGGATGTTCCGTAAACGCTCGAAATCTTTGAGGATGTTGTAGGTGCCCAGGCGCACGGCCGTTGTAGATGCTTGCTTCAGCGTGGTGGTCACGTATCCACGATACAGTGCTCGTACGAGGCCATCCTCCTTGATCAACGTCATTGTTGCGTTCAGAGGGCCTTTAAACCTCCTCTCACTACGCGCATCGTCGATCAAGGCAGTCTTAATCCGTTCCGTCGGCGTTACAGCAAACGTGCTGGCCACAACACCGGCGCTTATCCCGGCGAGAAGATTTCGCAACGGACTCAAGGTGCCGGTCTCTGGGTCTTTAAACTGCGCTTTTATCGTGTCAAAGGAAATGAAGCGGATGCCGTCCTTGAGGATAGTGCCCGCGACCAGTGTGGAGCAGCCTTTGTACAAAGAGCGTGGACCCTCTTTTTCGATCACGGATTTGATGACGGCGAATGGGTTGCGTGTCGGCGAGGTGTCGTGGAGTTGGACTCGTGTTTTGGCAAACTCAAAAGCTGTGACGATACAGTCGGTCAATGTCTGGAATTTTCTGCTTCGACTGTCCGTTGTTCTTCGTGTTCGTCCCTTGGAGAAGAAGAGCCTGGTTGCTCGTACTTACGATATGTGATGGTCGCTTCCACACCGCCCGCCGCACCTCCCGCAATCAACGAAACGAGCGGCGACTTGTTTGACGCCTATTGGAAAGCCCAAAGCATCAGCCACCGCACAATACTCTCCAGACGGGCGTAAAGGTACACCGCCGAGCGAGAGCCGGGCCATGGGAACGTCCTACATCGTCGGCAACCATGTTGACCGTGTCTTGTTGACAGATACAAAGGAGTGACTCGCGTGGTGCAACCCTACAAACACAGTCGACAGTCAATAATGAATCAAGAACGCCCAAACATGCACATTCGAAGATCACGTAGAAGAGGAGATGGAGCTCAAAAGATTCACGGTCGAAACTGTCACACTTGCGTCAGGGCCGCTGATCGATGCGGCTTCCGGTTATCGGAGAACCTCGGGCCCGGATTATCCTCGGCCCGCCACGAGGCTCAACCCCAGCCTTGCGCCGAAATCGCTTCCGCTGCCGAGAGACGTGCGAGCAGTGGGAATTCGTACTCGTGTTCTTGTCCGAGTACTTTACTTTGTGAGGCAAAGTTCAGTGCAATGTAATGTTACTACATGTCAGGCCGCTGCCCAAGATCCAGCACCGCAGTCCCCCAACGTCTTAGAATGATCCGAGTGCTAGGACCACAATGCCATCACAATCCATCGAACACACCAAAGCCACCAAATTTTCCCCTGTTCCGAACTATCCCAGGCACCCTTTACCAGCCACAATCCTGATATCGCAAACGCCGTGTAGTCATCTTGAAAGACATGATCAATGCCAACGAGGCACCCTACGAAAGCTCCAAAGTCCTCTCCTCTCCAACATTTGGTGTGACCGTGGTAGCCTTTCCTTTGCTCTCAGTCTCGGACTGGAAGCCGAACTTCTGACCTGAGTTGGCACTCACTGCCTCCTGCATCATGCGCATGCCCTCTTGCGGTTCTTTCAGACTGGCTTTTCGGAAAGTGTCTTCCATGTCCTTCATTCGCTTCTTGAATGACAATCTGTCCAGGAATAGCTGTTGTCGGCCTTTCTCCAGATCTCTTCGCTCTGCTTGTACTATTTCTTCCATCTCAGCGAACTGCGTCATTTTCAGCTCGAATTTCTGGAGGGTCAGATTCACCGCAGCAGAGACTATTCGGGTGATTTCTCGCTCCTCATGAGACGCAAGACCGCTAGCTCGAGCAGCGGATGTGGCCAGGGCTGTGGTGGCAATGTCGTTGATGACATTTGACGCACCATTGGCTTCGGTTGTGGCCTTTTCCACTGTAGGCGCCGCCTCATCAACTTCCATTTGATCTTCTGCTTTTACCTCCTCCTTTTCTTTCTCGGCTTCTTTGGCGTGTTCATGCTCGGCTCCACCCATTCCCTTCGCGAGCTGAGCCCGTAGTTGCTTCTGCATAACTGCGATCGAACGGTTTGATGCAGCGGCGACGACCTCTGGGTCCGCCAATTGAGCAAGGAAACTGACCACTGACATGACCGGGTTATCCAGTTGACTGATCGGACTTCGTCCTGTCAGGGCTCTCATGGTGGCAGAACCGGTCAGGGCACCATCCTCGAGATACTGGTCCTGAATGTCAAGCTGCAGGAATTTGAGCACGCATTCTTCTCTCGTTCTGGTGCCAATGTGCTTGGCGATCTCGCTCCAGTCATTGTCAAAGGTCTCCAGTCCTTCGAGCAGAAGCAGAATTTCCGAGTCAGTCCACGGAGCATCTTTGTCGGGAATGTGAGAGTAGGCTGGCTCCTCCATTTTGACGAAATCTGACGATCGGTGGTTGGCTGGCATCCGGGACTGAAAGTAGCAGTTGGGACATAGGTCATATTTCTGCTCGCCGGGATTGGGAGTGCTCGCGACCGGCTCTGATTTGGCATAGTGGAAACGGCACCGTGTGCAATCAACACCGCATGCAAAGCAGTTGAAGCTCTTGTTGGGTTCTCGGGCGACAGCTTGCATGGCCTTGGTAGCAGAGCTCGTACCATTCGCCGTAGTCCCTTCGCCGTTTGTCCGTTTCTCGGGCTCTTCGCTCGTCTTGATCTCTTTTCCTTTGTCATCATAAACGTTGCGTCTGAGCTCAAGATTGAGGTCTGCTTTTGCGGCCGGAGTCGCAGAGGTGGCACGGTCGGTAGAAGGATGCGGTTTCCCAGGAGTTGTAACGGTGTCACGAGCAGGCTGGAAAGGCTGCAGCCCCCGGGGAGTGTCGGCGATGACTCTGAAGTGGCCTGTGAATGGCGGGCCAATATTTGCAGGGCGAGTCTGAGGGTCAACCTGTTGCTGTCAGTATCGTCACTGACTGACGAAGATTGCGGCAAGCCCTACCTGGTAATTGATCAAACCCCATTGTTCGAGAAACGCATGGACTCTCATGATTGCGCAGACATCACCCGCCAAATTCCTTCGACAAGCGGTCACTGTGAGATACTCGACAGGGTTCAGGCGGTAGCTGTTAATCATGAAATCCCGGTAATCTTTGTAGACTGCTGGTGTTTTACTCCGATTGCGGCTGTTGAAGAATTCCGGTAGCGACTTCTTCTCGAGAGGGTGTATTATATGCATGTCGAACCATGTGCTGTAACTGGGGAGGATGATCTGGTGTGTTTGTGACGCAAGGTGGGAATTGGCCGCTTCTTCCAGGGCAGCTTTGGTCTTCTCTGCTTCAGCATCCGGTTGGGTCGGAGCTGGCGTTTGTTGCGCATCTTCGACTCCCTCTTTTTCAGCATCCACATCTTCGACTTTGGCATCGTCGTCGACTCCGCCCATGTCTGCATCCTCCTGTTCGCCGTCCGGATCATCCTGGGCGGGCGGAGACTTAGGCGCATCTAATGGGTTTGCCGATACACTTCCATTGGGCTCGGCCGGAGATTTTGCTTCTGCAGGACTCATTAGATCAACTTCACGTCGTGACTGGCGCAACAGTGGGAGATGCAGAGCGATCGCAAAACGCGTACCTTGAGTTGGCTGTGATTCCGATGCGTCGGCAGCAGGCGCTTCGGCGGCATCGGCGCTCATTTCAGCAGTCTCTGAGCTCTCGTGCTTCAAAGTCGCAGGTTCCTCTGTTGTGTCACCCATTGTAATGATGGCGAAGGTGAATGTTTATAAAATCGACCCCGACGGGCCTCCTGTCTCCTAAATCTGGCGGCTCTGATCAGCCGACTGCAGACTATATGCGCTGCGAATGGGCGAGCCTTTCTAGATGTCGTTCTGATCAGTTTTGAGATGTGGACATTGGTTGCGCCGATGCTGTTGACAGTTTTGGCTCCAGCTTGAAACCCTGTCGCGAATGTTGCGCCGCGAAGAACACGAGAATCAGTCGACAACCCGATCACGTGATGTATATGCGGAGGAACATTAATCCGAACAGAGTCGAATCCAACTTCGGTCAAATTTCTCCCACCGACGTGAACTCATCCGGTATTCCGTGAAGTAACAGAATATGATGAAGAGACCAGGATGGCTGGTCCTTCGAATACGAACACTTAGTCCACCCACAAGTCGTAGTGTGTCGAGCAAGCTCCGATACCTCGTCTGCCCCCAGGAAAAGGTTTGCGCCTTGATGGTGTGGTGATATTGTTGAAGAGCCATCAAATAAAGCTTCGTGACTGAAGGAGAGCTTTATAACCACGCTGCTGGTGCCTCACGGAGATGGGTTGCCAATGATCTCTGAGGCTCCCAAACTGCCGAGTGCACCATGGCAAGGCTTTCATCAAGGTACATGATTCCATCCTCCTTCCTTCTGCTCCTTTCATGTGCTGCTGCTATTTCCCCTGCTCTAGAGACCTGACTACAGCGTGCTTCGCCCAAATCAAGGCCGACATGTATCAGCACAGCCCTGACATTTGGTGGGCCGTCGACAAAGTCTTCACAGACCCCTACAGCACAACGATTATTCTAGCAGCGGTTACGACCACGATCGGCACATGCCTGTGCGCGCAGATTGTGCGAAACAAATGCCACGAAGTCGCACGGCTCGCACAGGCCTGCCCGCAACACGTCGTCCACGACGATTTCAGATATCTCAACGTCTGGGGTGATGCTCAATACCGCCATCTCCTCGACCACATCAACGTCCAAATGCTCCAGGCCCGGGACTGTGCCCTCTACGCACCTCTCCTGTCGCTCATCCCTCTGGCGATGGCGAGTCCGTGGTTCTATTACGTTTCCTTGGCCTCACCCCAGCCCTCACATTTTGGTCCCGAGTTCGGCATCTGCCTGTTCGTGACTGTGTGCTGGCTCATCCAGCGTGCCGTTTTCGACCACAGTCTGACTCGCTATTTCGCAACGATCGAGACACACCAAGCAAGTTTCGACCTTCACGAAAGCATCAGGTCGAAGCGCGACGAGGTAGCGGAGGCCACTGGGCTCATCTTTGTTTACCTGAGGGTTCTCCTCGCGTTCACCACTTCAAGCATGCCCAGCAGTAATAACACAGGATGGCTGGCGGCTGAACGGGCCCCTTTATTCAATTGTCAAACCAGCGGCAGAGGACGTCCGCGCCAGCCTCCCCTATGTGCAGCGGGCCCAGCCGGCAGTGGGCAGACCGTGTATACATATGGTAGCATTGTATGATACCAGGGAAGGCAGATGTCAATGTTAGTGGGGGAACAGATGCAATGAGATGATGAGGATGGAAATCCATTTCGAACTCAAAAGCTTTGCTACGATGTAACGGTTGGGACGCCTTCCACGGAAGCTGCTCTGTCGGAATGTCACAGCATATTCCACGATATCATGTCTGGGACGCCTCAAGGTTGAAGATGTCGGGTACACGCCCCTCAGTGCAGCACCGGACGATTAGTAGAGAGCTGTAAAGGCCCAGAATCCAACAAGCCTGCATGCATGATGTCAAGCTTCAGATAAATCTCGAGATCCTGGTTGCATGTTCTTTTGGTTTGGCCCAAATAGCGGCACACCGCGATCTTCATTAACGGCTGATGTTAACTGCCGTCGTTGTACTTGCCCATCGTGCTGAAGCGTATATTGGGCTAGCTGATTTCAGCCGACTACCTGACGACCTGTGTATTGTGTAGTTTCCTCAGCCCAACACGGTGTCTCACCTTGAGCTGTAAAACTAGTAAGCACCTGTTAAGAACAACATTTCAGTATCTCATCGTGCAATCATCGACCATGACTGTGCTGTACGGTCCCACGCCGTGGCACGCGTTGCCTCCACCGATTTAATACCACTCCAGGTCTTGCCAGCTCTTCATGAGATATCCTTGAACTTGACTGTCTTATGACAGCTCTCCCCATCGTCATGCTCATGATAACGACACCCATTTCCCTCGGTCGGATCGTCGAAGAGACTCCCACCACTCCCCTCCTTGATCGCATTAATGACATCGACGGCAAAATCTGGGCTCTGGACAAAACATTCCCTGTAGCTGGTCGCATCCTTTTCGGACCCAGGATCCATAATCTGCCTCGCCGCAATTTTACTCACCAGTTTTCGAAACGGCGATGACGGCGGTGTTCTTTCGTAAATCGGCTTCATCTCTTCGGGCCCCGGCACCAGCCCGGCCTCATTGCATCCCCTGCGGAACTGGTCGATGGCCTGGTTCTTCAGCTCTTGGAGCCCAATGGTGTCACAGAGGAGGTACAGCTTCTGGCACGTGAAGGCATACTCCCACTTAACGTCCTTGGGCATCCACGAGACATCGTCAATCTTGCCCTGGTAGAGCCACTTGACCAACAACTCGAATGCGCCCGGGTCTTCGTCCCGCAGATCCAGTTTGTTGTCCTTGATGCGCTTGGGGGCGCCGTTGATGGCGTAGGCTTCATCGAAGAAGCGCGCATGATGTGTGAGCAAGTTTTGATGCAGCGACCAGTGGCGGCCATCGGGACCGACGAATATGTCCAGGATGGGCCCGGAGAGGAGCCTGGGGAGGCAGGAAAGGCATGTGTTAGCGCAATGCGCGTGATAGGTATAGAGACGACCGGAGAAGCGACTTACTCTGCAAATTTCTTCGCGGAGATATCGCCTATATTCTCCCTGGGCATTTCAGGACCTCGAGTTCCGTGTCGATAGGTCGAGTAGATGCGATCAAGTGTATTCGGTGGATTGCGCGGCGTCGCATCTGCGGTCGCATGGGACCTTGTGGGTGTCTGGGAGACAAAGGGGTCGAGGCGATCGGAATGATGCCCCATGCGACATTGTTCGAGATATTTCGGCTGCTCTGGAATGTTAGGAAGCAGAAATGCCAATGGAGCTGGAGATGCGTTGTTCTAGGAGGCAAGTGAGGAAGAGAAATGGATGCGTGTCTGACAGACGGGGTCGTCGACGATTGTGCTACTAATGTTTTTGTCAGGCACGGATGAGCGCAGCGGGACATCACAGGCTCCCACCAGCTCCGTAATTACTTGTGCCTGGCAGCTCCAGTAAGGGCCCGGCGCCCCCACCACCGCTTACCCCAGTATACTTCACCACCACTAGGCGGGCTTGCCTCGGCCTCGCGCGGCTCTCTGCACAAGCTGCAGAAGGCTGCACAAGGCTGCAGGTGCCGCCCCGCTGCAGCTCGACGCGTCTGCGAAAAGCGCGTCGTGTCAAACAATTAATGAACCGACGCTCGAGATTGAACTCAATCCCGTCACCACGGAATACTTTTAGACAATCATTTGAACTGTTGCAACAACCGTCGTCATGTTCTCACACCAAATCATATGCTGAATTCTGCCATCACGTCGCCGTCGTCAGGTTCTGAAAGCACCACTCCGGAGAGCCTCGATGCGAATGCTGCACTATCCAACCCAATAAATACCTTCGATCACGACAAGCGTAATGACTTTCTCTTCCTCCCCGGTGCTGTACCCTGCGAGCTCTTCGCCACCAGCAATCCCCGAGAAGAAGAAGCGTCGACTCTTTCAACCCTTTCCCAGCGCGCGACAACCGAAGAAACCCAAGTTGGTGGGCGGGTTTTTGGTGGATAGCGATGACGAAGACGCCGACCAGGACAAGGCGGAAGAGGTTGAGAACCCTCATGCACTTCCTCGGAAAGACCCAATCCTACCTACGCCGCCGAAAGAGCACACAGAAACCGTCACCCCGATTGACACTGTAGAAACTACGAAGCCAGCCGATCAACCGGCCAGTCCGACTCTGCACCCATTGCCTCGCCCCCTGCTCAGAAAGAGACTACCAAACAATGTCACTGTGCAGACTTGTCAGGGGGCATCACTGGAGATCTCCATTCGACAAAAGTCCCAACAATTGTCGTATGAGCAGACAATCGCGCAGCGATCAATGACAGCGGCTGGACGGGCGAAGAAAGCATATTATGGTATTGAAATCCACAAGCTCATGGACGAGGCCACGACACAGCGGCAGCTTCACAAGTTTGAGAAGCAGAGAGAGGCTGAAGAAAGACTTGCAGAACCATCACTTCAGGGCCCGGTAAAAGCCGTGACCCCAGCTTCCAAACCAGCCAGTCACCAAATGTGGACAGAGAAGTACCGAGCGAGGAAATTCACCGAGCTTGTCGGAGACGAGCGCACGCATCGGCAGGTTCTTCGTTGGCTGAAAGCTTGGGACCATGTGGTCTTTCCAGGAAGTGGAAAGCCCAAATCTATCAAAGTGTTGGACGAAAAGGACCAAGGCCAGCAGCAACACAGGAAGATCTTGCTCCTGACTGGACCACCGGGTCTCGGAAAGACCACCTTGGCCCATGTCTGCGCCAAGCAAGCGGGCTATGAGGTCCTTGAAATCAATGCAAGTGACGACAGAAGCCGGGATGTCGTCCGAGGGAGAATCAAAGATGCTCTTGGCACCGAAACTGTCCGAGGCATCAAAGAGCAAGGCAAAGCAAGAAAGGCCGGGCGGCCCGTATGTGTCGTTGTTGATGAAGTGGACGGCGTCACCACGGGCTCGGGTGCCAGTGGGGAAGGTGGCTTCGTCAAGGCGCTAATCGACCTTGTTCAGCTGGACCAGAAGAACTCAGCATTGACCGGCAGCGGAGATATGTCTAAGGGCAAAAGAAAGGGCGACAAGTTCAGAATGCTGAGGCCCTTGATTCTGGTCTGTAACGACGTGTATGCCCCTTCGCTTCGACCACTGCGAATGAGTTCGATGGCCGAGGTCGTTCATGTTCGAAAGGCGCCGATGGACAAAGTCATTGCCCGAATTAAGAATGTCTTTGAGAGGGAATTGATTGCCTGTGACAATGATGCTGTACGTCGACTGTGCGAAAACGCGTGGGGCCTAGCAATGCGGAAACAGCGGGTTCCCGGCTCTCGCGGCTCAGGAGAAGGCGACATTCGAGGGGTCCTCGTTCAGGCCGAATGGATTGCTCACAAGCTGCGCGCAAACGAAGCCAAGCCGAGATTGACGCGACAGTGGCTGGAACCGCAGCTTCAAGACGCCCAGGCAGGCCAGAAAGGCTTAGGACGAGGCGGTGTCCGAGAGGTCGTCGAGCGAGTGTTCTTGGAAGGAGCTGGTTTGCCCAACCTACCGACCAATCTTTCCGCAGACGAAGCCAGATTGATCGCTGACTCCAAGACGAATCCTATCGGCGTGGCCAATCTGCGAAAGCGTGCAGCCCTCACAGCCCTGAGAGAGATGATCGATACCTGCGGGGACCACGATCGAGTAATGACTGACTGCTTTGCCACATACCCGACTCTAACATATCAAGATGACACCCAGCTGTCGAAGCCGAATGCTGGATACGATTGGCTTCATTTCCACGATTGCTTGTCAAGCCGGGTCTACTCAGGCCAAGAGTGGGAACTCACGCCTTACCTGAGTACTAGCGCCTGTGGCTTTCACCATCTCTTTGCCGTGGTCGACAAAGGCAACAAGGCTTGGAACGACGAGACGCCAGAGGAAGAAGAGGCGGATGTTCACCCATTCATGGGTCCCAAGGCAGATTTTGTCGCCTATGAGGCGGAAAAGCAAAGCCGGACGCTGCTGACAGAGCTGCAATCGAGCTTTTCAGCACCTCTGTTGAGGCTGTTTAGTTCTGTCGACGATATCGCCACCGAGCTGATCCCCAGCGTGGGAAAGATGTTGGCTCCAGACGTCAAGCCTGTTGTGATAGGCGGATCAGGTGGTTCTGCCAGTGTAGCGAGTGTGCGGAAGGAGACTGAGAAGGTGTGTGTGAGAAACGCTGTTCGAACCATGATGGCTCTGGACTTGTCTTTCGAACAAGTTCGCGTGGAGGTCGAAGGTGGTGGCGCTCATTCGAATGGCGGTTACGTGTACCGGATGGAACCGTAAGTCGAGGTCGCTTCTTCGAAAGATCAACCGAAACACTGACAATAAAACAGCCCTCTGGACAATCTCCTATCTTACCACTTGGACAAGTCAGCCTCTGGTGCCGGTCCGATCCGATATGCAGTTCGACAAGTACTCGACCAAGAGCTCAAGAAGGAGAAAATCTTGCAGAATTCAGTAGTCAGGCACGCTCGGTCTGGATCATCGTACTCCAGCCAGGCGGTGGATGAGAACAAGGAGAACGAAAGCCCAGGTAACAAAGCGCAGCGGGTGGCGTCGAAGGAAATCGGCGTCAAGCGCGACTTCTTCGGACGGATGATCAACGAAAACCGGCCCAAGTCAGCTGGTAAGGCGGCGAATGAACCGGGCGTCAAGCGACAAGCAGGTCGAATTTGGGTGTCATTCCACGAAGGGTTCTCGAATGCCGTTCGGAAACCGATCACGCTGAAGGAGTTGCTGGACGGTTTCTGAGAGGAGAGAGTGGTGAGAAGTGGATGATGCACACTTTCAGGACGACTATTGTTGATACACGAGCCACGCGATACGATCACAGAGCACATTCTCGGCTAGGCTCGTGAGAAGGGTATTGATGAGTAGACAGAAGGCATCCCGTGTAATGCAGCGTTTTCTGTTGGTCGTCCTCGTAGCAGCTGGAGATTGAACCGTGGAACAGCATATAATTAACATAATACGTCATGGACTTGCAGCCAGCACATGCTTCGATTGACCGAGGCTTCGAGGTTGCGAGGATCCTTGATTAATTCGGGCCTGTCAGCGTAGCGGGACACCGGACAGCAACGCCGTTGTCTACAGTTGCATACCGAAGACTACAGTACTGCAGACATGTGCAATATCCTCAGTCACTGCCTCTCACGCACTGTGCAGACACTGACGATGTCTCCTCCGCCCTGATCTGTCCAGTCCTCGCTCCTCCCCCTACAAACCGCTCACACGATGGCCGCACAATCGAAACTCCTCCCCCCAGGCCGGAGCGTCAAACAACTACTCTCCCAACTGACCTCCCTGTACCTCCAACACCGCACCAAGATCTCGAGAACCGTGTACATCACCCTCGTCGTCGCCCTCATCCACCGCATCCACAATGCCATCTCCGAACAGAAGGCCGCCGCGCGACGACAAGCCGAGATCCAACGCGACCGGGCCCGTCAAGCGCAGCAGCAGGGCAGCGGCGCCGGCCTCGACGCAGACAACAACAGCTTCCAAGGCAAGCCACCACCCCGTCATGGCTCCGCCTCCGACGATCCCAAGAAACCCAAGCGCGTCGAGATCAACCGCGAGTTCTTCCGCTCTCTAGCCCGCCTCGTCCGCATCGTCATTCCCTCGTGGCGGTCCAAGGAACTGCGCCTCCTCGTCTCGCACACCGTCTTCCTCGTCCTCCGCACGCTCCTCTCTCTGTACGTCGCCGAGCTGGACGGCAAGGTCGTCTCGGCCCTCGTGCGCGGCCGCGGCCGCGACTTCATCCTGGGCCTCGTGTGGTGGATGCTGGTCGCGGTGCCCGCCACGTTCACCAACTCGATGCTCCAGTACCACCAGACGCGGCTGGCGCTGGCCTACCGCACCCGCCTGACAAAGCACCTGCACGAAAAGTACCTGGACAACATGACCTTCTACACGCTGTCGGCGCTGGACGACCGGATCAAGAACGCCGACCAGCTGATCACGGTCGATGTGGCGCGGTTCGCGAACTCGCTGGCAGAACTGTATGGGAATCTGGCCAAACCGGTGCTGGACATGGTCATCTACAATTACAGCCTGAGCAAATCCGTGGGCGGGGAGGGCTTGTTCGCCATGGCACTGCTGGTGCAGGTGTCGGCGAACGTGATGCGCGCCCTCACGCCGCCGTTCGGCAAGTACGTCGCCGACGAGGCCCGGCTGGAGGGCGAGTTCCGCTTCCAACATACGCGGCTGATCGACTATTCCGAGGAGATTGCCCTGTACGCGGGCCACGAGGCCGAGAAAGACACGCTGGACAAGGGCTACTTTACGCTGATCAAGCATGTGAATCGCATTTTGAGGCGCCGCTTCTACCATGGCTTCATGGAGGATTTCGTCATCAAGTACTTCTGGGGTGCGCTGGGCCTGGTGCTGTGCAGTTTGCCAGTCTTCTTCCACATCCCGGGGCAGGAGCAACTGCAGGCGCAGGGGCAAGGGCAAGGGTCAGACCGACTGCGAGGGGGAGAGCGCGGCGATCACACGGAGACTTTCGTCACGAATCGGCGGATGCTGTTGAGCAGCTCGGATGCCTTCGGCCGGCTGATGTTCAGTTACAAGGAGATCACAGAGTTGGCCGGGTACACGTCGCGGGTGGCTTCGTTGCTGGACGTCATGGATGAGGTCTCCAAGGGCCATTTTGAGAAGAACCTCGTGAGTTCGGCGAGCACGGAAGAGAACGCGGCCGTGCTGCGTGGGAGAGGTACTATTGAAGAGAGCGAGAATATCGAGTTCACGGACGTGCCAATCGTGTCGCCGAACGGGGATGTGCTGGTCAGGAAGTTGACCTTTGCGATCAAACCGGGCGATCATCTACTCATCGTGGGGCCCAACGGGTGTGGGAAATCCTCTCTCTTCCGCATCCTCGGCGGGCTGTGGCCCGTCTACGGTGGCAGCGTCAAGAAACCGTCCTTTGAAGATATCTTCTACATCCCACAACGACCGTATCTCAGTCGCGGGACGTTACGGGACCAGATCATCTACCCGGACACGCTGTACGAGTTCCGCGCCAAGAACGGGTCAGAGGACCGTCTCCGGCAGATCCTGGAGATCCTGGAAATCGAATCTGTGCTCCAACGGCCTGGCGGGTGGGATGCAGTCGAAGAGTGGCGCGACGTCTTCTCCGGCGGTCTGCAGCAACGGATCGCCATGGCGAGGCTGTTCTACCACCAGCCAAAGTATGCCATTCTCGACGAGTGTACCAGCTCGGTGACTCTGGAGATGGAAAGGAAAATGTACGAGACGGCCAAAGGCCTCGGCACGACCTTGATGACGGTGAGTCATCGGAGGAGCTTGTGGAAGTATCACAGTATGATCTTGCAATTCGACGGCCAAGGCGGCTACGTCTTCTGCCCTCTGGACGCGGAGAGAAGGATCAAATTGGAAGACGAGAAGGAGGAGCTCGAGACCTTGCTAAGAGGCGTGGACGGGTGGAAAGCCAGGCTGGACGAGCTGCAGCAGGATTGAGGATTCGAGATTCTTATGACTATCCACAGCATAGATCGGTTCGGTCATCACGGCCGCAGCAGGTTTGAGGACTCGCGGTGGGCACCTTGTGACTACTTCCACAGCATATATCGGTTCGGTCATCACGGCAGCACAGCAGCATTGACATTGCAGGTCGCCCATGTTTGACGCTGGTCCAAATCCAATTCCACCCTCAACACAAGAGTGAGCCACGCCGTGAATTGGCAGTTTCGTGTCGTGCACAGATGCCTGTTGAGCAAGCTTGCTGTGGAGGAGATCCCAACCGAATCTGACGGTGAGACTGGGGTTTGAACAGAGCCAGTACGGAGTACAGCTATAGAGAGAGAGAAGAGGGCATCGACTATGCCTGTGGGATGACATTGTCTTGGGGGCGGAATCTCAAAGACGAGGGGGCATCAATTTTATCTCTGGGTTGCTACAGTACGAGTCCTACCAAACCCCCGCCACCTTTGACAACGGTTCTGCTCTCTTTTATCCAGCTTCGACCAATATCTGAGCGGACAGCGAGATCAGAGACTCTTCGACTAGTAGGCGTGAGGCGGGAGGTATATAGTACTGTGTCCGAGTTACACAGGCAAACGCGGTTTCAGCAACGTCTGGGCACTCATTTCCATTCATTCCCGTTCATTCCCCATTGAGTGGCGAGCGCCTAAGCAGTGACTTAGTTGATTACGGTTAAAAACTACCTAAGTTACTGTGGTACTGAGGTAATCGCTTCATCAGGCCTTCTACTGCGTACACTGCACAGTACATACCCCCATCTCATGCCTCAGGCGACCTGGTTGGGGGCCAAGGCTCGCCGGGGGCCCCGGGGATCGCCTGTCGTCGCCTAATTACATACTGTATGTGCACTGACCTCGGTTGACATTTGGGGCTCGACACATGCAGCATCCGTGGATTGGCCTAGCCTTCTTTTAACCGCTGCTCTTTTGTCGGCTCGATTACTGACTGGCCACGGGCAACTGGTCGCTACAGTAAACGCCCAACGTCTCAACTCAGCAAGGTAGGGAGGCATGTTCAACTGTGCGTGTGTGCGAGCGTGCGTCCGTCCAATGCGTATGGCTCGATGCGACCAGGTGTGCTCAGCCCGGCAGGGTTGGTGACTCGTGAGCACCGTCCTCGTTCATGAACTCCTTTTGAGTCTCTGCATGTACTGTAGGTCGAGAGCGGAGTACTGGACCGACGTCTTCCCTTGTCTGCTTGCCACACATCCTCATCTCTGCGTCGTCACGGCACTCACTCATCTTGAGCGCCACAATGGACGGGAAGGTACAGACAGAGGTAGATGCAGAAACAGCACGGCTCATCCTGCCTCTTGGCCATTTTGCATGGGCTTCACGAGTCATGCATAGGTCACGAACCCCCTCCACACCCCCAATTACATCTCCTCCGGCGGCTACGCTGCGATGGAAATTCAGCCTTTGTGTGCCAGATACGATCATCTACCGCCACGATGCGATGCGTTGCGTCCACGTGGTGAAGAGGGGTAATTGCCACGCCTACAAGCCTTTGCGGGTAGTGGCTCTGATGGAAGTCTAGTACATACTTTCCCAACAAACGGGATTTCACGTTGTTTGAACCCCGGCTGATCAGAAGGATTTTGGCTTCGGTTCGACTTGTTTGGAGCGGAACCACGGGCTTGCGGCAAGATACTCAGTGCGTGGGAGAAACGGCATCGATACTCCTTTCTGCCACGGCCCATGGATGGATGGATGGATCGACAGGATGCCTGTGGCGACGGGAAAGCAGACGGCAGGGGAACACGACGTCTCAGTCGAGCTGGGGGACAGGCCGCACGGCCGCAGCAGCAGTCTACTGGATTTGCTGCTGATGGGATGGAGATTGTAGAGGTGTGTCCCCATCCACAGATCGTTCAATCACTACACCGTGGCTACATCAGACGAAGGCACCATTGTAGGATTGTAGGTGGAGACCTCATGTTCGGCGAACGGGACATTCTCGTCAATCTGCACCGACCTTGCTTCGTCAACTGCACAGATCTTGAGAGAGTATCGTCATGTTGTCCCGCGATCGCGAGATTGTAGATTCGTCCTCGGTGGGCGGATCTACGATTGAGAGTGTGGTAGACCGTTTCCCTTTGGCAGAGGCGCTGGACTTTTGCATCGAAGAAGCTCAGATCAATGGCAACAGCACTGCATGGAGGTGCAAATTCGGTAGCTTCTGCCGCGATCTGACCAGCCAAGCAGCATCGTGCATACTGGTGGCCACCTCGATTTGAGACAGGAGAAAATACATCATGACTCGCGCATCCTGGCCCTTGACGGTGTCGACCTTTGATGCATCATGTTTGGCAGGGTGATGCTTAGAAGAGTGCAGCCACGACCCGCAGTATGTCCAGTTGTCCGTCTTGCAGCCTGATTCCCCTGTTCTGCTGCCCTCGTCAGACCTCATCACGACATCGGTATTCTGTCAGTGAGAAACTGAGAAACTAACATGACTCGATTGGCTTTGAGGCGCTGGAGAAAGAAAGTATGTTCCAACCCCGGAGCGGAATCCCCGAGCCATTAGCAAGCATCGTCTGGATCCATGGCGGTTCCCACACTCAATCTCATTGGAACCCATTGGAAAGGTGCATAGAGAGACATGGGTGAGGCGCTTGAAACGCGTGGAGAGATGTCTCTTTGAGCGGTAGCGACCAAGCACACGCTGTCTGGGCCGTAGAGACCATGCCAAGGTCGAAAAGACAGGAACCACCTGCGCATGAAGGCCCGAAAATGTGACACACCCCCGTGGGTGAGTTGATATGTCGTGTCCAAAGCTTGAGCTGAACCTGTCACACCGCGCGGCAGCCCGTGCATGACCTCACTATTCGCCCATCCAGCACCCAGCCTCCACTGCTGCCATGAAGCCGCAGCCCGCGTGGTTGGTGAGCAGTGTACGCCAGGAGTGCCTCATTTTCCAATAGTCGATCCGCCCGCGGCTGGTGAGGCTGCACCTGAGATTGTCTGTATCCTGGCGACCTGCACGGGGCTGGCGAATGGAGTCGGGACGCTCGAAGACCATGCTCTTCCGTGGCAGCATTGAAGGGCGGATTTTGGTGAAGTCGGTGGATGCGGTGGACGCGGTGGCTGCGGTCCGTGCGTCAGACCCCGCTTTTGCCGCGCGGCACGTGACTCTCGCCAACAGTTGCCCGCCCGCTCGCCACCTGAGTCAGTCCGTCAGTCAGGAACCTCCTTGCTTCGGGTGATCGATGCTCCCCGTCGAGGGAGACATTGGCATCGTGTGCATAAAGGCTGCTGTTCCGCCGGGCGTCTGTGAAGCTCTTCTCTCCTGGTAAGTCAGCCCATCATGGAGACACCGAACACGCCCGACTCTGTTGACGCAGCGTTGCAGGAGGTGAGCGAGCTCACTCGCGACCTGTCCCTGTAAGTATTCAGCCACCAAACTATCATGGATACCACTTCCGCATTCCCCCGGTTGGCGGCCCAAGCGCGGCCTTGCAAAAAGACAAGACCTGACCAAGTCATTATAGCGGCGGCAGCGTCGAGGACGAGAGTCCGCCGACCATGCCTCCCAAGAAGTACTGGAGGGAGGAATATGGTCGCCACTATTCGGTGCTGGGGCGGTACGGTACGTCGCCCTCCGGGTAGTGACGTCCCCAGCCCTTGGGCCCACCTGACTGACCGTCGTTCGGAAGAGTCCATGTTCCCTAGTGACGAGGACGAAAATCATCACTTCTTCCGCTTGCAATCTCTGTTGACCCGAGTCCTTCGATGGCAACTGTTCCGTTGTCCGGCCTCGCTGCTCAAGGCCAATGTTTTGGATATGGGCACGGGGACCGGCCAGTGGGCTCTCAACGTCGGCAGGAAAGAACCCTCATGTAAAGTGACCGGTGTCGACATCGCCCCTGTCGAAGCCGGTAGCAATAGGGCCAACGTCAAGTTCGAGGTCCAGGATCTGGAGTCGGATTGGCCTCGTCGTCGGGCATACAGCTTCATCTTCGGCCGTCAGCTGGGTGGTTCCATTGTTGATTGGGCCCGACTGATTCGCCGGTGCTACGAGTAAGTTGCCCAGGGGGCGTTGTGACCTCGCCGGGGCATATCACACTCTGTTGCTAAATAAGTGTGATGTGATGCAGCAACCTCGAGAACGGCGGATGGATCGAGTTCCATGAGTTGGACTCCAACTTCTATGTCATGCCCAACTCGGCGCCAGGTCGCAAGGTCATGGAGATGAGCCAGCTCCTGTCGCTCGGCTTGTCCAACCTGGGCCGCAGGCTCGATGTGGCAGACTACATCAGGGAGCTCCTCCAACAGCAGGGCTTCGAGAATATCACGCACGATCGCGTCGCGGTCCCGATTGGCATGTGGCCTGCGCCGGCACCACCAAATCACAACGCCATCGACTCGATGAGGAACGTCGGGCTTGCTCGAATCACGGAGCTGGAATTCGGCATCGAAGGCCTCACCCTCAAGCCCTTCTGCAAGGGCCTAGGTTGGACGCCGGCCCAGGTGCACCCCTTCATCGCCGACGTCACCCGCGAAGTCGTCGTTGGGGGAACCAAGATGGCCTCGACTCTGTGAGTCCGCTCCGGTTGATGTGGTGTTCGAGTCGGTTGTTTGACTGTGCTGACCTTCTGTCCTTCTAGGAACATCATCTACGCGCAGAAGAATGTCTGGTACTGAAACTGGAGGCGGAGACGCGTCGCAGAGCGCAATAGGGAGAGCCGAAAAGCCACTTTGACGCCAGCCCTGGCCAGAATGTGCCTGAAGGCAGGCCCGGCCATGCCACTCTGGCGTCGCACCCGGGCAACGAATTTCCTTGTCTTTTCCCTTTCCCACGGACGAATTAATTATGAACTCGACACGACGGTAAATTGTTGGGTCATCACGAATCACGCAGGGAAGAACAGGGCAGGGCAGAACACAGCAGAGCAGAGCCGCAAACGCAAGGATTTCTATCTACAGCGAACAAGTCTGCATAGCGACGAGTTGGACAAAACCAAACAAAAGTGCAGCATAACATCAGAATGAGAGGCCGAGAGATCGGATTCCTCGACACGAAACATTTCGGTATTTACTAGTATCATGTGCCTAAACGTAATCATGGGTACAATCCAATCACTGTCCCTCGGAAGGACGTTCATCCTCACCTTGTACAATTAACTTGTGGCGACAAGGGTTGTGATCGGGGCAGCGGCCGCAGATGTTGGCAGCCGCGCATCAAGAGCTCCCTCCCCCTCTCTCTTCCAGCACTCGCATCACCGCATTTATCAGTCGCAGTAATCAACCAGTCTGTTCTGGTGTGGACGATCAGGTGCGATCCGAGGTTTTTCGACCGCCGCATGTGTGCTCCGCCATGATTGGAAACAACCAAGAGTGGAAAGGACAGCGTTATGATTTATGTTACATACTGTAGGAACGGGGCCCCTCTTCTGCTCGCCGACTTGACACGCTGCATTTTCTTCTTGGAAACAAGTCAGTGTCCCGCACGACATCACGGATCATCTGCTACTAGTATAGGCACCACCTCCTCCTCCTCCAGCTCCCGACGGCGCTGTGTCAGCGGGCAATCTTACCTAAGCCCACAGCTCCGCATGCTCGTACGAGGACCTGGCCAGTCAGCCGCCTCGCGCCTATACAAAGGTACACTACAGTAGCTCAATTACGGTAATTAGCTTCATACCAGGTACTGTATGTAATGCGGGAGATGCGTGCGATGGCCCCCACGACACACCGTGTTTCCTCGGTCCCCGCTCCAATGATCTTCGCTGCTTGAGTTACATAGTAACTAACTACAGTAGATTCTTCCACCGCTCCATGCTGAACCGCCTAGTCCAGGCACCCGATACTCCGGGACATTGAGAACAGCGCCTCCTCCAATCTTGTCATCGCGCTGCTGCGAGTCCAGCGAACGGGTGACTTATGTTACAGTGGTTTCTCGCTGATTGTTTTACTCACTCCCACGTCCCGACCCACGTGTGAATTGCCTCTTCGATCGCCGATGCGATGGTTGGCGTTACACGCACAGTACGGAGTATACAGACCGTTGCTTTTACCCTTTCCGAGCTGCTTACGCGAGGCTGGGGCTGACGAAATGCCCCAGTATTCCATGGCGTCCTGTAGAAGCAGGTCCTTTCCGCCGCGGGACCAGGGTTGAATCATGATCCTTGGTGCGGCTCATCGCCATTGCAGTGGTATTGTATACGGAGACGGACATGTGGGATGTGTCGGCCGAGCAAGAAGGCGGCATCACACACCGCGTGCCATCCCTCGCGAAAGCATGTTTTGGCGGTACTCCGTAATCTCTTCCCAGATCTATGCTACGGCACACTCCACCGTCATGTGCTGGCGGGCGTGCGTCTCGGTCCAGTCTCAGCATTATGAAGACGGCATTCTCCAGCTAATGCTTCACTGTGATTACTTCACCTTCACAAGCGCAATGAGCAGGGAGGACATGTCGATACCATCGCTACAGGATGCTCCTCGAAAGTCCTCATCAATGCCACCGTGGTTCCAGCTGCCGCCAGAGATCCGGAACAGAGTGTACGAGTATGCCTTTGGTGGTCTTGTATTCCGACCTCTCCAACCGCCGAGCATGGATACAAACGCCGAGGCAGCGCAGCAAGTGTCACTGTCCTCTCCCTCGTTCATGTCCTTGGCTGTGAGCAGACGATGGAGGACAGAAGTCGCCCCGTACCTTCTACCAGCAGCCACATTCGATTTCACGGCTCATCCAGGAGACCCGCCGCCCCTGATTCCTGAGAAAGCGTATGAGGCGATGCGGCACGTGGTGATACTGGAGACCCACTGTTTCAGCACGGAGTGGTTGTGTCGGGTTTTGGACAAGATGCTCGAAGCGCAGACGATCACGATCCGCAAGCTCAGGAGGGTTGGCACAGTCGATGCAAGCGCCTTCGACGGACCGGGTGTGTCTCTGAAATTCATCGACAAAGTCCAGTCCGACCCGATCAAGGCTTTGCTCGGCGGATATCGTTTCGATCACCAATACACCAAAAATATATTGAAGAGCAAGTGGCCGCAGAGAAGACTCTTCCTCGAGGGAAGTTTGTGGCCGGGGCAAGACGGCCCAGCTCATTCCGTACGAGGTTATACCCTGCCCTGCAAAGAGGTCCGCCCGTCGCTAACGAACCCGCGCGTAGCACTTTCAAGTCGATCTGGATACATGGAAAGTCCGCATCGAGGGCCTGCTGCCGGGAGCGAAGCCGTATGAGATCCAGGCGACCGAGCCTGCGCCCGTAGGCAGGGCTTGTTTCGAGGATGAGGAGGACATGTTTGGCTATCTAATGAGTCAATATTGGGCTTCTCTTCAACATGGTCACGACATATACTAGAGGGGTACCCTTGCGCTGGGGGGCCGCTGCAACTCATCACTGTGTTCCAACTTCGCCGTCACCTGCCATAGAGGTCATGGGAATATGCTGTGCATTATCTGGTGATTTGTCTGTCCCTGCTGACCTGCCCAGTCGCCACGATCGTTGTTTCGGTCACCCCGGTCTCATGTTCCTCGGCTGCTCTGTATCCTACTTTGCGACGACCCTCATACTCTAAGATCACAATCAGCGACAAAGGTGTCTGTCAGAAGTCTTCCTCCTGAGGTGATGAAAGGATCTGCTGCTGGATAGAGACGGAGTATTCGAACGGAGATGGTGGATGATCTGCTGTGGAAAGACCCTCGAAATAAAATGGATGGGATGCCAACTACACGCACAGTCATCGGGCTTGAGTGAACTGTGGTAGACGGATGTGTCTTCCCTGGGTCGACCCCGTCAAGTCAAGACGATGAATGGCTTGAATGGGTGCGAGGCGAACGAAAGGTACGGCAGTGTAGAGAGAGCGGTGGGAACGATACTGACCTTCAAACGCGTCTGTGGCCTCGTCCGACATCTGGACATGGATTCTTTCACCTTCGGTTGACACATCTCCTCAATATTCCTTTACTGTCATGTGGTTAATGTGCTGACACTTCACTGCGACCCGGTCAGTGACATACCAGTCAGTGAAGTCCTCCTGGTAGACTTTTCTCGTCCGGCGCACAATCGCGACTCTTTCGACCTAGATTAATCGCGATCATCTGAATTTTTCACTCTCCTCATCGATTCCTTTATTGTCTTCAGCTCACTCCCTCATGGCGGCAATGTACAACCATCGGTCGTCCGAGCAGGCATCGTCGCCGCCGATGTGGACGCCGACAATGTGGGCACCGACGATGTGGACACCGATAATGTGGGCACCGACGATGTGGACGCCGATAATGTGGACGCCAACGTTCGAAACCGCGAGTGCTCATACCGCCACTCTAGACCCGTTCTCTGGCCCGGCAGGCGCTGTCACCAGAGACTTCGACCCTTACCGTAAGACGTTCTTTGATCTGGCGTCGACGCTCGAAACTGCCATGGCTGACACCACCACTCTAGACCCCTTCCCCAGTCCGACAGACGCTGTCAACAGATTCACTGACCCTCGCCGCAAGACGTCCTTTGATCTGGCGTCGACGTTCGAGACTGCCATGGCTGACACCACCACTCGAGACCCGTACTCTGGTCCGACAGATGCTATCATCGTATCCCCCGCCCCTTACCGCAAGACGTTCTTCGATCTGGCGCCCGAGGCCCGCGTCGAAGTGTACCGCCAGTTGTTCAAAGGCCACGTCATCATGATCCGCGGACAAGATGAGATCATTGTGAGAAGACGCCGGGAAAAGAAGAAGAGATTTGAACGAGACCACGCCATGGGGCTGAACATCCTGTTTGTGTCGAAAGCTTGTCTGGCCGAAGCGAAACCGGTGGCCCTCTCAGTGGCCACTTTCGACATCAACTTCACGAGCATGCTCCGCAACGGAACTGAGAAATACCTGCGAAAGCTCCAGAACTTCGGCCGTCCGGAGCTCGCCCTCGTTCGCACGATCGACTTGCCCAAGGTTCCTCACGCGACGGAAGGTCTCGCCTACCAGCTCTCGGCAATGCCCTTCCTCCACGATGTCGTTTGGAACGTTCCAGAAGAATTTGTCGTCCGTGGCCGACATCAGGTGCAGATCGAATCTCATCCCGTGTTGACTGGGCTCGCGAACGAGCTTCGCGATGTCTATCCCTGGGACTCCCCGGTTCACAAGATCATCAAGCGACATGTGCAGGAGTCGGCAATGAGGGTGAGAAAGCCAGCGAGATACCTATTCAAGCTCCGCCTGCGGCTCTGGTCGTTGTCCAAAGACTTCAGCGTATGCCACCCGTCCCTTTCTGTCGAATAAAAGCTAACGTATATCTATAGTCGACTCTTGTAAGCACTCAGCTTCTATCCTGCGATCCAGACTAATGCATTTGAACAGATTGCCTACGCCGACTTTCTGACCGAGACCATTCACGTTGTCGACGCAACAGACGAGAAAAAGATCGTGGTGCCAAAGCGAGCTGAACCAAGCCTGTTAACTGTGTTGCATTGAGGCCAACAGCCATTCGACAATGTGTGATGGAGGCACGCAGGGAGGTATGATACGGTATGAAGGCGCGATGGCCTATGGCCGATGGCGGGGTATGCAATCGAGGTTTGGCGGGAGAGGCGGCAAAGGGTGAAGTGAGCTTTCCTACATCTTTCGTGATCGAGTGAAGAAAAATTCGGAGACGCATGCTGAAATTCCAATCGCGCGTGGCTGGCTCAAGAAGTGTATCTAGCTGATGGGTTGACTTGACACGTCTGTCTCGCCTAGGACATTGACCGCGTGGCCGACACATACCACTTGAATGACATTGACGAAAGAGAAACAATTCCTTCTTCTAGTGTCCTGCACTCTTCTCCGCAGTGTGAGTCCACGGGATAGATTGTTTTAAGTGAATGGGACGAGAGGAGTGTAGAGGATCCTGCTGAGCGCTATGATGCCGCTGACAGACATCGATTGACGTGTCTATCAAGACAGGGTGAGGATGTAGTTGGCGCGAGCAGTGAGGATAGAGGACACTCTCAGACAAAAGATGGAGAAGACCCATTGTACACGACTGTGTTAGATTGGCCATGCAGCAGGATTGATGTCTGGGGAATGATCAATGTCCAGCAGTAGCAGAAGTTGTTGGTAGACAAGAGAGAGAGATGATTCAACACCGAAGAAATGCCACATCAAAAGAACAAAACACTAACCATTCTCGGTTAGTCTGCCATTACTCATCACTGGCCGTATTTCGAAGTCGCCCGGAAGTCACTGGAGATCTACTCCGCAATACTCGTAGATCTCTGGTAGACAGCACAAACGATAGTACGTTGAATAACTGGTGTACATACTGCTCTGCATTCAAACGGATAGATCATGCCAAAGGCTGCCCGGGCTACTAATAGGACGTCCTTTCGCACGCAGCTTTGCAACATTGCGGTGAGTTACGCCCGTCCCGGCATTGTGACCCGGTACCTCTGGACTTACCCATCTGACTGGACAATGAGGTTCTCTCGCAGATACTGTAGCAACCTTGTGTCTGCTTGTCATCGGAGCAAGTTATACTGCTGCTGCCACCGGTCCCTCACTCCGTTTTTACTATAGCAAATTAGCCCTCACACCTCGGCATAGATGAAGCACAAGTACACCGACGACCACCACCCCGCGCGGGCCATGTTCACACAACCGTTCGGCGTGTCCTGGCGGAAAGCACTGGTCAGTCTACCGCGGCTCGTGCCCGACTTTGTCCTCAACTTCACATCGGCCGAAGGTCCACAGCCCATCGTGTTCGACATCCCGTCCCGGGGCAAGCACCTCATCCCGCTCTACGTGTGGGTGCCGCCTCTGCGCAAGCACCACCGGCACGGCGACAAGAATGCCGCAGGCTCGCACCTCAACGAGTCACTTCGTCCAATGGGCATCGACGACAACCACGCGGGCAAGTTGCCCGTCCTGATCGACTTCCACGGCGGCAGCTTCATCCTTGGCTCCTGCCAGGAGCAAGCACCCTTCTGCAGCCGGATGTGCCGCGAACTGAACTGCGTGGTCATCTCGGTCGACTACCGCCTCGGGCCCTACGCGCAGTACCCGGCCGCGAACCTCGACGCCGAGGACGTGGTCCTGGCCGTCACGGACCGGACCAACAAGGCGTACACGCCCTTGCGCGAGGGCATCATGTGGGCGATGCTCAAGGAGGGACGCAACCCCTTGGAGCTGGACGACGCCAAGATCGCGCTCTCGGGTTTCAGCTCCGGAGGCAACCTGGCGTTGAACCTCGTGCTGAGCGTCAAGGACGATCCCACCCTGGAGACCGACTGGCTCAGTCCGCTGCAATGGGACTGGCCGACCGATATCCCCGTGCTGCTATTCTACCCCAGCCTGGACGCTCGACTGCTGCCCGACGAGCGGCCGCGGCCCGAGGGTCTCGATCCGCCGACCGGCTTTGTCGAGCGCTGGCGCATCGAGCGCGAGTTGATGCCCACGTATCTGCCGCCGGAGAAGAGAACCCACCCGCGAGCCAGTCCGGGGTTAGCGGAGATCACGGTGGCGCAGGAGGGTGACAAATTCGGACTCCATCCGCGGGCGAAAGCACTCCTGGTCCTCCCGCAGTTCGACTCTCTGAACTCGCAGAGTCTGCTCTGGATCCAGAAGGTGCATGACCAGGGAAGAGGTGCGGATCTCTCGGTCGAGGAGGTCAAGGGCGTCGTGCATGGCTGGACGCAGTTTCCTGATTCGTGGATCAGCGAGGAGCACCGGAAGCTGAAAGTCGAGGCATTCGCGAGGGCGAGGGCGTTTTTGTTCGAGTGGTGGCATCTAGACAGAGAGAAGGGGGACGACGTCCAGGTCGAGGTTGCAGCGAACAAGGGAGACGACGTCCAAGTTGATGTTGTAGGCGACAAGGAGTGAATTGGAAACGGACGTTAAGTTCGGATGAGAGAGTCGCATGATAGGGATCAAGATCAGGATTACAGAACTTGGAGGTCGAGTTCAGCCGATGGCTTGGCTGTGAAGGTTACAGAATATTACTGGTTTGCTCTTCCTATTCCTATTCTCGTCGCTATTCCTGTCCATGTCCATGCTATGTTAGCTTCATGTTCCTGTTCCCGTGCTTGGCCAGGCTGGATACTGGATAATGTCAAACGACTAGTACCTATTGATCTGTCCTGAAATGCTTGAAATGTCGTGTACGACTTGATATCAGACTGTGGCGACTCCCTCACACAGCATCTATGTAGACAAATTGACTTGGACGTCAAATATCTCGCTTGACTGGATAGATCTACAAGCCAACCGTAAGCCACCACTTCAATTATCACAATACTACATTTCAAGGGAGGTCATGGGCTGGATCGAGGTAGGCGGATTGAAGAGCGTCGAGTCTTAAATGCTGTGGTCTGTCCTACTTGTCTTTCACCTACATACTTTCCCGGGAATTGCGTGATGCACGTGTTTGGCTTCGATTCCTGCCGGCCATACTCGCGTGGTGGACTCACTATATTCCCACTTCTGAGCACGAGGTATGTAGGTGTGCCGCCTTAGAACCACGCCTGGCTACCCTGTCCAACCTCCACTTGTCCAGAGTTCCCTTGGCAAGGCTGCCTACGACATTTGCTGGGCTGCCTACGTGAGAAGCTCGACCTCAGTCGTGTCCGACCTCGAGGGTGCTCAAGGTGCGACAGGAAACTACTGGAGAGGTAGTCGCCCTAGGGGCTCGGAGTACCGTCTGTAGCTTTATCCTTGTATCTTTCCTCGCTGAACGCTATCACAGTACCTTGCCCTGCCATTCCATGTCCATGTCCATGTCGCTGCGGATAACTCAGCCTCTTCCTCGTCGCGCTTGAGTCGCGTCATGGCTCGACAGGCTGCCTTATTCATTCGACTGTCTCTGTCCTTGTGCTTCCCTCAGCATGAAATAGACACTTGGATTCGCCGACCCGTAGTTCCACTGGGGGCTGAGGACCAATTCATCAATGTCCCGGAAGCCGAATTTCTGATACAACCGGTGCGCAACGGGGGAGGACTCGAGATATGCAGGCAAGGCCAGTGCATCTGCAATATCCAGGCCCCATCTGATCAGCATGCTGCCGGCTCCGCGTCCTTGATACTTGGGATCCGTCTGGAGGAGGTCAAGTACTAACAGTCGCTCTCCGTCAGTTGAACAATCTTTCCCACCTGTACCAGGACCACCGACTCACAGCAATGCGCTTTGTCCCCCATCAACTCACGTCGCTTCCGGTGAATGCCACCAAAGTACTCTTCGCACGCCTCGATGTTACATCCCGGCCCGAATGATCGGCCTGGGACCGGCACTTTGGGCTTCTCGATAATCTCCCACTTTGCAAATGCCGCCAGTTCACCCGTCTCGGTGTCCACAGCCTTGACCCAACGGACGGTCGGATCTTCACGCAGCTGCTTGATCATTCCTTCCGCACGCTGGGCTGCAGCTTCCGGTGGGAATGGGCCAGGGAACAAGATAGGGCTCAGGGGGTTGGAGGCATAAGCGAGACGCTCGACCTCAACGATGCGAGGGGCATCGGCCTCGACGGCTTCCTGCAACACGAGAGGCATCGTCAGAGCGAGGTCTCTTGAGTGCAGAAAGACGTGTGGGTAGGTGTAGTAATAGTGGCTACTACTGTCCCATGGTCTGCCTCAATAATCCCCAGGAGAACTGCTGCTGCCGCCCGCCAGACTTCTGGCTCGAGCTGTGTGGAGCTCCTAAGACATGGCCTGGTGTGCGGGCATCAGGTCAATGCTCGATGCTACCTCGAATACCTCCACAGCCGCCTTGCAGGTGTTAGTCTGTCCGAGCTCGCGAATCGCGTGTAGGATCACAGGGCAGAGACGCAACGTGGTGAGTCAGAAGATGCCCGCGGAGGTCTTCGATTGCTGCCGAAGCCAAGCGTCACGTCAGTCGCCGAGTCCAAGACTTTGGCGTGACTGACTCGCCTTCCGAGTCGCCGGTGTGTTGATAATCATCCTCGTCTTGCCCTCGCCCTCACTGCCGACTTGTCTGGAAAAGGCATCAAATCTGGCAATGCCATTGGTGCTCTGCTCTTGAGGTGCAGTATGGCGCGTGTATGCGACTGTCGCTCTTATCAAAGCCCCGAGGGCGACCATGGGAGTCCGTGGACACCGTCAACGCCGCACGCTTCCCAAGGCAGACCTGGAACCATGAATACGAGTGTAGGTTGGCTAACGGTCCACGGAGGCGAAAGAGGAAATTATGCTGTTTGAGACAACGATAGCCGACGGCGACCTCTGGCCATCTGCGGTCGTCGCGCGACAGCATGGGATGTACGTGGAAGAGATTCCCCTTCGGTACGCCCCAGACAGATGTATAAAGGTAGGAAGGTGGTGTGGTCTGTTCGAGCAGAGACCTCTCGACCAGACCTTCAGCTACATCCTCATGTCCAAGCATTGTGCTATCAGGCTTCAGCAGACCTTCAATTCTTGTCAGCACCCATTCTTCAGGACAATGTCGACGACGGCGCTTCCAAGCACGATGCGAGCCCTCTTGCACAACCAGAAGACCCAATCGCTCAGCATCGGTACGACACCCCTCCCGACGCCATCCCCGACTCAATACCTCGTCAAGACACATGCCGTGGCCCTCACGAATGGCGAGCTTCTCTGGCCCCGTCCCGAAGAGCTCACCATCTCGACCCCGGGCGTCGAATTCGTCGCCAAAGTGGTGACATCCCCGTCTGGGACCGCAAAGTTCCAACCTGGCGACGAAGTCTACGGCCGCGTGCAGTATCCCAACCCGGGCGCCGCCAGAGAATACACACTCTCAGACGACGGGGAACTCGCTCTCCGTCCGAAGAACCTCTCCGTCACCGAAGCAGCCACCGTCCCCGTCTCCGCCCTGACCGCGTGGCAGGCCCTCTTCGAGCACCTCAACCTCTCTCCTCCACCATCCCCGGTGTCATCGTCGTCTAACGCGACCCCAGAAACAGCCAACGGAACCGCACAGAAACGCATCCTCATCACCAACGCCTCCGGGGGCGTCGGCATCTGGGCCGTCCAGCTCGCCAAGCTTGTCGGCCTATACGTCATCGGCACGACGGGCACCCAGAACGTCGACTTTGTCCGCTCCCTCGGCGCCGACGAAGTCCTCGACTACCGCCAGACCAACATCCAGAGCTGGGTCACCGAAGCCGAAGCCCCCCACAGCCGCAAAGTCGACTTCCTCTTCGACTGCATCGGCGGGTCGTCCCTCGCGCAGGCGTGGCATGCCGTCAAACCGCACGGGCAGGTCCTCTCGATCGTGCCGCCTGCGGATATGCAGTGGAAGTGGGACCTCGAGCGGCCCGAGGGCGTTGATGGCAGCGTGACTGGCCGGTTCTTCGTCATGCACCCTAGTGGCGAGCAGTTGGGTGAGATCACCCGGTTGGTGGAACTCGGCAAGCTCAGGCCCGTCGTCGACAGTGTGTATGGGCTGGACGAGTTCGAGGGGGCCTTTGACCGGTTGAGAAGCGGGAGGACGAGGGGCAAGGTCGTGCTGAGAGTTGATGATCTGGAGTAGTGACCCTCTGCCGCACATACCTTTAGTTCTATATCCACTTTTGGTGAGGATGGAGGAGAGGGGATACGCGACGAGGATGCGCGTGAACGGGAGAGAGATAAAGCCTGGAGCAAATCGTGTCAGGGGATTGATGGCCCTAATCTGCTCTGCTCCATCCTACGTGAGTGTGACTTGGCGCCAACATGGAAATATGCAGTCCTTACTGATCAGAATCAAATCTCGACTCTTACTTACACGCATCTACTTCTAATTCTACGTGGACGCCCTCGTCTTTCCATACTTGCACGAGTTACTCATCCCAAATCTACCTGATCATCAGATCAAAGGAGTAGCTGTTTAAAATATCAATGTTCATTACCGTACGTGAAACGCTTTGATACACCACCCAACGCTATGCTGGCTCAAATATAATGCAGATGAGTGTCCTGAAATATATGTTTATCATGCACCTCGTGTCCCATTTATTCGTAAAAGATGAGAGCTCTAACCTCAATGCTTTGCCGACCAGGCGCGTCGGCGGGAGTCTGCGGGTCCACGAAGGCCGTATGCGGTGTGTAGGCCGCAATCCCCTTCTTACCGCCGTTGACCTCGCTGAACGAGTCGAAACACTTGATAAACATGACTTCCTCGGGCGTCATATCCTTCATGTATAAGAACTTGTGGTTCTCACTGGGTTGGACGGCAAAGGTTTCACCCTTGACTTCGTAACCTTCTGTCGACGTGGCTGAGCTTGGGTCAGGCAAGACTTCCTTGCCTCGATCATCATCATCCGTGGTGCCATTACTGGCGTCCCGCTTGGGGTAGAGAAGGTCGACCTTCACCAGGTCTTCAGGCTTGGTGCTCCGATAGTCAACGACAGCTAGGGGAAAATCAGAGGCAGGGTTGGCGATCGGCCGCCAGATGTTGACAATTTGGTAGCGACCTTTGAGGAGGTCCTCTGCCTCCTCCGCTGGCAGGTGCCGGCGCACTCTGATCTCCGCCGCCCTGGGCGTCTGATCAACATGGACCTGCTGGACGGGTTGACGCGGCGAAGCTTTCTCCCTGCGGCGAATGGTGTGGTCGAAGAAGACAACCTTCTTTACACCGGGCAGCTTTTGCCGCAACAGAGCCTCAACCTCGGCGTAGTAGCCTTCCCGGACTTTCGCATCGTCGGTAAACGCCTTCTCTTGTGCAGGAGACTTGTAGACTGCGAAACCGGCGTTGTCGATGTTATACTCCCGTTCTCGTCCTCGGATGTCCTCCACCGACCGTTCCCGGTCTGTCAGCTTGTAGGAGTAGCCAGGTCCGTCGACTTTGCCCCACGGCTTTACGAAGGGGACATCGCTTTTAACGTAGGAGGCAGGGTCAATGTACTTGAAAGTGGCGGCCGTCATATTGCCAGCGCGGGGAGCACTAGTACTGAAGAGTCGAGGGGCAGGAGATACGAAGGATCGAGGCGGCGTAGCGTGTGACAGGTTCCTCAGAAGCGAGGAAGATGCCTTGACAGTTCGGAGTGAAGTGGCGGCTTGCATGTACAGTGAGTGTTAGCTCTGACGGTTCGTAGAGTCGGTGGAAAGCAGGTGTGGTGGGAAAACTGGAGAATAGTACCTGTTTGCCCCGTCACCTCGGTATATGTATTCGTACGCGAGTGTCCTGGAATTGTCAGCAGTCGAAGAGTCGCGAAAATATTAATGACGTTGAAGAGTCAGGCCTGAGAGGGTAGATTTCCCTTCTCGTCACTCCAATGTCCCAATCTGTAAAATTTCCCTCGAGGCTCGATGACGCGAGCAGCAGCCGACTGCATTGGCTTCAGATCTGAATTGATTTCAAAGGCAGTCGTTCGGAGTTGCGTCGGACGTGGTCGGAGAGCATCACTGCCCCGCAAATAAGGCGCCAGATTAGTAACAGACGTCATGTCTTGGCAGCCCGCGCGATCGTCGCTATGATTGGCTGGCCTCTTTCACCCCACTTGCAGCGCGTCAACGCGTGAATTTCATCCCTCGCGGCGCGTCTGTTCAGCTGTCCAGGGGTGGAAGCCTACAGCACCAGCAGTCTAGGTGGAGAGAATCCACTGTGTGATGAGCAGCCTCAAGCAGACCAGGTCTATCTTATCACTTACCCTTTAGCCGAGACCGCTTTGGTCTTTGTCTGCATCACCACATCAAGTCAGAATGGCAGACCGAGACATCTACTCAGCGACCTACAGCAATGTTCGCGGCCTTACTCCGCCCGTGTGGATAGAGACTAACATGCGCGATTGTAGGTCCCAGTATATGAGCTCAAGATCGGGAACGACCATGTCATGCGCCGCCGATCGGACGACTGGGTCAATGCCACACACATCCTCAAGATCGCCGGCTTTGACAAACCAGCCAGAACACGGATTCTCGAGCGAGAAGTGCAAAAAGGTGTGCATGAGAAGATCCAAGGCGGATATGGAAAATACCAGGGAACATGGGTGCCTCTGAACGAAGGTCGCCTGCTGGCAGAGAAGCATGACATTCTCGACAGCATATCCAGGATCTTCGACTTTGTGCCGGGCGACCGCAGTCCTCCACCTGCTCCAAAACACACCACTGCTGCATCGAACCGTCCGAAGCCGCCGAAGCAGCCTGCTCCGCCACGAAAAGTCCATCAACAGCAGCAGCAGCCGCCGCCGCCGCAGTTGCAGAATAGCTTACCCAGTGAGTACTGCAATGTCCTCCTCAAGACGAGTACTAACTCGATGTAGTTCAACATCATTACCCAGCCGTCGATAGCTACGAGACCGCCAGCATCCCTTACAATGGTACCGACAGCCGGGATCCTACTCCGGAGACGGCATCCTTCATAGCTGAAGACGACTTCCTACCGATGTCACAGACTTCCGCAGCATCTAGGAAGCGAAAGCGGGACTTCGAGGAACTCCCTCAGACTGTCTCCGAATTGGAGCATACAATGTATGGCGATGAGTTGCTCGACTACTTTGTGACAGCTGGCGACGATCCCATCGGCTCCAATATCCTGCCTCCTGAACCACCCCTGAACTTCCACGTCGATAGGCCCATTGACAACCTCGGTAACAATGCCTTACACTGGGCTTGCGCCATGGGAGATGTTGTGGTTGCGAGAGACCTTCTCGCGCGAGGCGCCAATCCCGCGGCCCCAAACAGCAGCTCAGCGGAGACACCATTGATTCGAGCTGTACTGTTCACCAACAACTACGACAAGAAGACGTTTCCCAAGATTGTGGGGATGCTTGCGCACACAGTGGTGGAGCGGGACACTTACGGAGCGACTGTTTTCCACCATATCGCCGAGTCAGCACGGACGCGAAGCAAATGGAATTGCGCTCGGTATTACTGCGAGGTTTTGATCAACAAGATGCAAGAAATGGGCTCGAATTATGTTCAAGCACTTCTAACCTCGGTCGACCACAACCACGATACAGCCGCTCTGTGCGCAATACGATATGGCTGTGTCAAGGTTGCGACTTTTCTGCTTAATCACTGCCCCGAAGCGGGAGACATTTCGAACCTCAAGGGTGAAACTGCCAACGATTACCTGAGAGCGCTTCGGGAGAAGAAAAGCCTCAAGCAACCTGGATCTTCCCCACCGCGGACGGGAGAGCCTGTCTCATCCAAACAGTCCCGACGCCAACGTCAGAAGGAGTCGGTGTCTCGAGCAGCATCCATGGTCCTGGATAAGATCGGGCCGCTGATGGACGAAGGAGGTGGCAAGCTGGCTGACTTGTACAACAAACAGATGGCAGAGAAGGACACAGAAATCGCGGAGGCCAAGCAAGCGTTGACCGAGCTCGAGAACCAGCGCCACAAGATCCGGCAAGAGACCTTCTCGTTCATGGCCCGCGCCGAAGACGCCTCCAAGATCCCGGCTCTGCGTCAGGAATATGACATGTGCCTGAACGAGATGGAATCCCTCCTCGAAAACAAAGAGCATATCACCCTCCAGACCGAGATTTTCCTGCAAGATCAGCTAACCAGTCCCGAAGCTTTCCGCTTCCCCAACATCCACCCGCTGTCGCCTGATGAGATCCACGCCGCCGCACCATGGGCGGTCGAATTGAACACCCAACAACAGATCCGCCGCCTTTGGGTCAAAGAAGTGGCCAAGCTGATGGGAGACGCAGGTACGGGCGGAAGGGTGGGAAAGCACAGAAGACTGGTTGCTCTTGCCACGGGCCTCAAGGAAGAAGACCTGGATGCCATGTCCGAAGAGTTGCTGGAGAGTTTGCAGGGGAATCAGCCTACTGGAGGAGCACCTCAAACGCCGCCAAATTAGCCCCCGAGTTTGGCAGCCCGGTAATTAGACACGATGAGTAGCAGTACGGTTTTGTGTGTCGGAACGAGATAAGCCAACCCCCAGTAGCAACACGAAGTACTGTTTTCTGTTTGTGGGACTTGCCATCATGGTATTGTAGGTTGATAAAGCGCGTCGTCGTTCTTAGTGGCGGGCCTACTTCCTTGGGACACCCTATTGTAGAGCATATTGTGTGGTACAATACTAGGGCACCCATTCACAAGCTACAGTATACTGCGAGATGATATTGTGAATAAAGCGAGTGAATGTCATGCAAGACAAGTTCCAAACCGATGGCAGCGATCTGCGGAAGTTAGCTCAAGCTCATTGCATTTCACGGGAAGTGCTCTATGCACTTTTGTTGTTCTGCTATGCTGTCTGCTAATGCTCATATTATGCATTGCACTTGCACTTTGATTGTTCTGCTCTGTCCATGTCCCCTGACGCTCAGCCCTATCGGGCATGCGTCCTGTGTTCCGCTCATTTCAGGTCTTTTCCTATCAGCCATGTGCAAGTCCCTTTTCTTGGTGCAATTCTATTTGGCAAATGCCTCTCAGCCCGTTTCAATCCTCCAGCAATGCGTGCGCCTTTATCCGCGTAGAATGTCAATGTCTGACAATGATACAAGTCCTTGATGTGTCTTGTCTCGTTTTTGCGAATTTGTCCGCGTAGTGTGTCAGTCTCTGACCTTGATGCAAGCCCCTTGTCGTGTCATGTCTGTTTGTGCGATCTTATCCGCGTAGAGTGTCAATGTCTGATGGTGATTCAAGCCCCATGATGTGTCGTGTCTGTTTGTGCGATCTTGTCCGCGTAGAGTGTCAATGTCTGATGGTGTTGCAAGCCCTTGATGTGTCGTTTTGATGTGTCGTGTCCATGCGAATGCTCAGCCGATGTAGATGTGCAAGTAACGCCGTGTGTACGCCTCGAACGCCACCACAATCCTAGTATTGTGTCTCTTCGCCAGTTTCCTGGATGGTAGGGACAGACTGAGGGAGGTAGATGGCTGGGCCAGCAGGAGCAGCGCCAAAGGGAAGGCCATGGTAGGCGTAGTGGGCGTCAGCGAGGTGGGATGGTGTGGGAGAGAACATTCCAGTTGGGAGCATCTGATTCAACGGCATCTGCATACCGTGTTGGGATGGAGGAGTCACGATTCCGAAGCCAGGTCTGACGGCTTGCTGCATTGGCGTTGCGTAGATATGGTTGTTGTGAGGCACGGTGGCGGGCGGGGTGATGTGATGCTGGCGGTCGTAGCCGCCAACAGCAGGGTGACCATGGTTATGGCGATGACGAACGTTACCGCCATCGTAGCGGGCGTTGTAGTTGCCCATGACGTTCGCCATGCCATCATTTTCGATGGCGGTACCGTTGCTGGCGCGGACGCCAAGCGGCAACACACGGGCTTGATGACGGGCTGAGTATTCTTTGGCCTCAACGCGAAGCTTGACGCCATGGAAATGACGTTCGCCAGCGGCAGCATGGATGGCTTCATGTTGGTGGGCGAATTCGACAAAGGCAAAGTTGTTCACAACAGTGCTATCTACGACAAACGTTAGCGATGTAGGACGACAAAGCCACTGGGTTGACTTGGATTTACCATAGATCTTGCGCATGACGTTCACATTCAAGACATGGCCAAATGCACTGAAATACTGCTCCAACTCGGCCTTGTTAGTTCCTTCGGGCAGGTTTCCCACGTAGATTGACTTCTGATCAATGGCCGAACGTGGCTGCTGGAAGCCACGGACGACTGATCTGCCGTCGGGGCCCACGCGGAAGCGAGGTTCCAGGCCGGGCGCAATGAAGAGTCGGTAGGTATTTCTATGGTTGTCGAAGAGCTACACTTGTGTTAGATCGAGTCGTGGACAACTATGCAGGTGAAGCACACTCACTCTCAGAGCATCGCGACAGTCCAGGTAGTATGCGAAGCGCACGTAGATGGCCGTGGATGTGCCTGTACCATTGCGAGTGGGGGTTGTGGTAGGAGCGACGATCTCTAGGGGCCCAAATCTTTCCAGAATGCTGCGTGCTTCGGCTTCAGTGACGGTTGATCCATCAAATTTGCTGAGGATGACCGCTCCTAGAACAAGTATTAGCTCGTCGCCACCAAGCAGATGATATAGACTGTTGACTGACGCTCTGCTTTTGCCCGTTCGATGCGGATTCTGCGACCATCGAGTACCATGCCGTATGCACCCGACACAGCGGCGTTGGCTGCCTCAACAGTCTGTATGCATAATCAGCAGGTTGGGGCGGCGCCACCATGTTGTTAGATATGCGTACCTCATATTGCACAAAGGCAAAAGGATGCTTGTTTCTGTCTCGGCGAATCTTGACGTGGTTTGGTCCGTAGGTGTCGAAGGCAAGATGGACGGTGATTTCCAATTCCTCTTCGGTCCGGCGCACGGAAAGACTAGAAGAAGAATCAGTTATACAGCTTGTACCGCCCGGCGCTTGGATCTTACTTGGCGACGAAAATCAGAGCGTCGGGTGGAAAAATTCCTTGTGCATTAGCTGCCGTAGGGATTTGGTTGACTCGGTCAGGTCGAGGAGCGAAGCTATGGGAGCCTGCAGGAGCACGGAGGTTGTTCAGGATTCTGTGGGCGGCCGGATTTGGAGCACTGTCGTTGGAGGTGGTGGCAGCGGGAGTAACGTCGTTGGCGTTGATAACGGCGGGAGCAACGTTGGTGGCAGTAGCAACGGGAGACGTAGCACCGAAGACGTCGTCCTCAGCATTCAGGCCAGTTGAGTTCTGAACTGGAGAGCCCGATGCAAGAACGACGACAGGGACTGAGGGTGCCATAGAGGTACGTTGGGCATCGATAGCGTCTGAATCGCAAGCAAACCGTGAGCATAATGAAAACAGGTCGCAAAAAGCCGCGACATGGATTGTGGATGGGCGTGAGGAGGACGTCACGATAGAGCACTACTAACCTGAAGGTATCTGAGCAGTGTTCCCGCTCTCGCCCCCTTCTTGGAGCTTGGTCTCATGGAGCTCCTCGATGATCGAATTCATCTCAGGCTTTGGCGACAGCACACGGGGCGTAGTGGTGGCTGAACGCGAGATTGGAAGAGGCAACGCTGGCAGAACCAGACGCCGAGGGGAAGAACCGGCTGAAGAAACGAGTCGAGAAGTCATTTTGCCAGCGTTACTTCGTGCTGAGGTGGTTTTGAGATTTGGTGATGGTGTTTCAGGCCTTCTCTTGCTGGTTTTGGCTTCGACGTTGCGTTTATGAAAGAGAGGGGAAGCTGTGCTTGTTGTAAACGAGGTCGAATCTGTTTAGCTCGAGTAGAGAGCTCTTGAAGCAAGGTGACAATAGCTGGCAAACGAGCAAGGGTGTAAAGGCAGGTGGGGGCAAAGTGAAAGAGGTGACAGGTTCAAGTGAAGGAGTCCTGTATAGAGGGGGGTTCATTCAAAATGGTCTTGGCATCTGCATTGTCTTCACCACCAGCTTTCCCGACTCTCAACGCCCTTCCCATTCTTTAGACTTAACTTCATCACCCTGTTTCAGCGATCTTTTGACCTTGTGGAGATCAATAGGCAGCCCATCGTCACTAAGCCCCGCATAAGGACGATGGCCAGGTCGTCCTCACTTCACATCGTTATCCATAGTGACGGCTTGTCAAGTGCCCGCAGTAGCTCTCGATCCAAGGGGCGGCCACGTTGTGAGTAACAGAGATCCGATTTTCGTGACCTGTTTTCGGGTACCGCGACATCTTGTGTCGGTTCCCTAGCGGCTGTCGGTACTTTTAGCAGATTCCTGTTATTGCTTTGTGGTCCCTTTCCACTGTAGTCTTCAACCTTGACCATCCTTTCAGTACAACGAGGAGAGCGGTCCATGGCAACGGACATGCTCCTATCAGCCAGGCAAGCACGGGAATCGTTGTTGATGAAGCGAACACACCTTATGATGCTTCCCGGGTGCAGAATTGGGACTGTGAGAGGGAGTTACTCAGGCATAACGTGGATCTGCCTCAGCTATCTTCATGTGGCCGGTCGGTTTCCGTCCCGACCTTTTCGTAGACGGTCACGGCGAGAACGAACTCCCACCATGCTTGTCGCATGCTTTGATCCCTGTCGCTGAGGCCGGACCGCTCAGATATGGAAGAGTCACGCAATCTGAGAGGGTCACACCCACATCATCGAAGCTTGTCAGTGGTATTGGAATGAAGGTCGACGGCGTCTCCACGGATACATTGTTGAACCCTTTGGGAAGGCGTATCTAGGTATGGATCTATCATGGACTGGAGGCTACAGTAGACCTGCCGTCACATTGTGCCATGTGTGGAAAGTGACAAAGGACAAAGGGAGTATCTTGAACACAGGGAGGAGCAGACTGATGAAGTCCAGCGCAATGCCCCATTGAACGCTAACGCTATTTGGAAATCACCTTGGCAGAGATACAAAGCGGCGATAAATTACGTCATCACCTAGACTTATCGAAGACTGATAAGTCACAGCGACATTCTGAATCAACGCTGTGCCAAAGTTGTGCAAAGCCAGGAGACAGACTATGAGCAATACAATCATGGGCTTCTCATCTCATGGCTGAGAGTGCGAATCACTACCATTGACAGTGCAGTCATGTTCTTGCCCACGGTCAGGCGCTGTGCGCCTGGCTTCTGGAAGAAGACAAGCCAGGAGCTGGGAAGACAAACCAAGTTCGGTATGTGATCTTGTGATTGCACAATCTAGATTCCGGCGAAACCCTGGTCTCCTGGAACGATCCATACGAAAGTGACGCTATAGACTTGATTTTGCGTTGCAGCAGCAGAAGCTGACCTGTGCTGTGTGACAGCTTTGAACCTGGAAGGCCTCCAACTACCGGTTGCGCCCTACCCGATATTCGATTTCGCGGATACCGCAACGATAACGACGCTGAAGACGATGACAGATCAATCAGTTGGCGGCTTTTCAACCGCGAATCTTACGCAAAAGCCTCGCGATGAATCGACGGACCCTCCTACACCCGCACACATTGTGTTCAGCGGAAATATCTCCACGAAACTGCCAGCTAATCGACCAGACATCCAGAGGACAGGTTATGCGGCATGGCGAAACCATGACCGAGGACGAACATTGTTCGGCGAACTGTTCTGGAATGTCGATTCCTACATGTATCTGGCGTTACGGGTGAAAAGCGATGGACGGAAATATTTCGTCAATATACAAACAGACTCAATTGTCGAGTCAGACATCCATCAGCATCGACTGTACACGAAATATCACAAGGGCGCAGAAGGGCCGGACAGTCCAGCGCAGTGGGAGACTGTTTGGATCAAATTGCATGAGTTTGTACGCACGAATCATGGGATCGTCACAGAGCCGCAGTCAGAGATGCTGCGGCAGAAAGTCAAGAGCTTTGGCATAGGATTGATCGATAGACAGCCGGGTCCCTTCGAGCTTGGAGTTGCTGCTATGTGGGCTACGAACTTGAATGAGAGGGGCCAGGTTGATGGACGGACAGGGTGGGAAGAGGGCGACCAAGGCAGCGCAAGACTCAGCGAAGTCACGCTAGAGAAGCTAGAACAGAAGGCCGAAGAGAGGAGGAAGATGCCAGAACAGAAGAAGAGCTTTCGGGAACGAGTACCACATTTTGGCAAGGTCGGCACAGGAGACACGAAGGCGTTTCGATGACCGTGTAACTGTTCCTGCAGGGGCTAAATGCCTGAAACTGTACAATACATTCCCGCATCTGGATCGCTCGAGACGTCTTGGTATCACCCCGCTGCGAAGTGCTCAAATTCTAATTCATGGCTCCTAATGCCGCCTCTAGAGACTTGCCTGTCAAGACCTTGAAAGCTTCGAGATACTTGGCCCGAGTAGCCTCGACGACGTCGTCCGGCATTTCCACATCATCCTTGCCCTTCAGGCCATTCTGTGTCAACCAGTCGCGCAAGCCCTGCTTGTCAAAACTTGATTGACCCTGGCCAACCTGGTAATTGGACTTTGGCCAGAACCTCGAACTATCTGGTGTCAAGACCTCATCAATCAGAACCACCTCGTCCGTTTCCTCGTCCAAGCCAAATTCGAATTTGGTGTCTGCAATGATGATGCCTCTCTCTCTTGCATAATCCCTTGCAGCTTTGTAAATTTGGAGCGACAATTCCTCGATCCGCTTCGCGTGCTTCTCACCCACAATCTTCGCAGCGTGTTCTATGGATATGTTTTCGTCGTGCTCACCAAGCTCGGCTTTGGTGCTCGGCGTGTAGATCGGCTCGGGGAATTCTTGCGACTCTTGCAGTCCTTCAGGCATTTTCCTGCCATTTACCTCACCGGTCCTCTTGTACGACGACCATGCGGAGCCTGTGATGTAGCCTCGTACAATAGCCTCCAGAGGGAATACCTTGAGTTTGCGCACGAGCATACTGCGGCCCTTCAGCTGAGCAGCAACATCATCGGGTAGTGAGGGTGGCAGATCGAGGGAAAGAAAATGGGTCTTGAGGGTCGGAATTTGGTTCTGGAGATATTGAAACCAGTGTGCAGTCATGAGAGTCAAGAGGACGCCTTTCTGCGGGATACCCTACGCGTGGTACTGGTTGGTGAGCTGTGGGAATGAGCGCAGGATGAAGGGTGCTTACATTCTTCATGATCACATCGTATGCAGAGATCCTATCCGTAGCTACAAAGAGCAGGGATTTGGAGTCGACAGCATAAAGCTCCCGCACTTTGCCTGAGGCGACAAGAGGGAGGGCATCTCCCACATTGGTCTTGACAAGAGCCATTGTGGTAGAAGCCTGTAAAGTTGATTGCGGGACGAACAAAGATTTGTACGCAAATTGTTTGCGAAAAAGTCCCAGTACGAGCGTACGAGTACAACTTGTGAGGTACTAGTGAGTGACGTCAATGTCGGCCAATCATAACCGATCAGGCTGTGGACGCGCCTTGTGCGGCTTTCTACGAACGCGTCTCTCATGAATGAGAATTGTCGTGTTTGACAAGGCGGACAGGAGACAACCCTGGACGGCCTGTCCCCTCTCAATTCGATGCATGGGATGAAGTCGTCAATGTCTGCAACAAGATGAGCCGGTATCTGACACCCGGCAAAATCACTTTGCTGGTGGTAGCGTTCCTCTATGCCAGTGATCTAGTCCCGATCAAAGAAGCCGCAGCTGTGCTGTCATTCATCCTTTCCCATAGTGTACCATCACAAAAGCCGTTGTCGTCACTCCAGTCAGATCAAGGTGTCGAGCATGCTTTGCCAATCTCAGCATTCGAAGCCGCTCTTTCACCTCTTCCATCGGCACAACCAGGAAGGACCCTGTACGACTTGCTACTCAAAAGAATATGGGCTATTGACTGCTCTCATGCCCTTGAGGCCTTCATCGCGAATCTGCCAATCCATCTGAGGAAGTCAAGGGAGCAGATTCTACTTGAGCGTGAGACCGGGGAGGAATTCTTTCAAAACAATGGCCGGATCCTTGGGACGTCACCTCTGGGTTCGTTCATCCGTCGCTGTTACCTCGAGTACATCAGGCTGCAGTTCCAGGATAGCATCATCTTATGGCAGGATTTCGTTTCGTACAGACTTCCCACTCGACAAGCGTATGAGAAGAAAAATTATGCGGAAGACGAAAACGCGCTCGATTCGAATTTGGCTGATATGAACCTTGACTCGTCTCATGCTCTTACCCAGATCATGTATGGCAGACTGGCGGAGGAGGAGCAGCAGCAGCGTGGAGCGTACAGCATGTACGACGTGGAGAAGTTGATGGAATTCCAAGCTTCTGAGCTCCAGCGGCTTGGTGGAAGACTGCCAGACGGAATGAAAGCGGTTCTACACCAGATTTCCCGAGCGGGCA